TCCGGTGACCAGCTCAGTGTTATGAGAATAATTAAATTGCTGTAAAAAATCTCTGTCTGGCCAAGTTTAAGAATAGACGATTTGGCCATGAAAAAACTCAATCCTCTTAACCATACTATCAATGAACACTAAGCGACCGTAAACCACCGTTCCTCTTATGCCATACCTCAACATACACAATGTATATATTACTGGGATCCAGGAAGCCCAAAGAAAAATCGACAATGATGTTCGCCTTTTCTGCATATTGTATTGTAGAGGCTCCTCAGTAACATATGAAAGGATGACTCAGACTTAAATTCCAAGCCTAAGTAAACTACTTGGCAATGTTTGTTAGGCAATTTGTTTTTACATTGTATCTCGGGGAAAACAATATCAACGTTGGAAAAGGAAACTAACGTGAATGCCATATATTGCAGTTTCGCAATATGACCAGACGAATCCAATCGCGAATTGAAATATATAACTTGTCGCATATTATGCGATAAATTACGACAACGACTAAACTGATATAGATCGGGAACAGAACTTCGTTGCGTTGTTACTAAAAAAATCTAAGCTGAAGATCACGGACTATCCTTTAGGTTTGGCGTAAACTATATTTCATCGTCCCGTCAAAAAATAAGCACCACACGGCGATAGAATATGATATAAGAAACATTTCCTTCTATAAAATCCATTGGAGTTACTCCAAGTAAACTTTGATTCGTCCACTCAAACAGAATCAGAAGTCATGGTACAATGGCCAGTTGTATAAACGCCGTTTTACAAAATGAACATGGAAATATTCAAGTAGGCTATCACACCGCTCAAAACGACCACCATCATACCTTTTGCTTTCCTTCTATGATGCTTATACCTTCTTGAATTTCTTAGTCGACAGTCAGCGGTGCGTTTTTCCAGGGGTATTTTGCGTCTACCAGCAAGAGTACAATGTGCAGCTGCTAGGTGACAGCTCGGAAGTCGGGACACCCCGAGAATAATCTTGCAAGGAGCGTCCATAAGGCTCATCGTCGCCATGTCCGTCTGACAATCATATCCACACAGACAAATGAAACCCCCCAATGGCATTAATATTCACATAGTAGTCGCCCAGGAGCGAAAAGATCAATCCCTATACTTTAACGCTTATCTCCGCCTAAGAAGATCTCGTGAAAGATAATTTTAAAAGCTAAAGTTTATAATACTGATGATTATGTATATTTATCCATATGCAAATGAACTCACCAAAAGAAATAAAATACATTAAGTATAGAAATGTAATTAATTCGCATGTAGAATATTTAATACCGTAGACATGAAAATTTAAAATTACATTACTGTTTCAAATATTTTTTTTTCACATTCGATTCATCGGAATTACATGTACGGTAAATATTTAGCTTTTAAAATAATGTGCAGTTAATTCAATTGTTATCGAAACGACAAGATAAAAAATTCCGAAAGACGAAACCACGTTCTACAAACAATTCCATAACCACACAGAACGTCCTCCTCGATACTAATCGCGACACGTGCTAAATATAGAACATAAATGTCTGATATTAATTTGCTTAGGGTATCTTCCCTATCCTTGAAATCCAGAGAAAACAAGAGAATTTATTAGGAGACTTTGAACTTTACTCAGGAATTATTGCTATTTTTATTTTGCTCCATGTTACCTTATCCTAATGTCTGAATAGATGTCCACCTGATTGCTAATTTCCACAGAAACTTACAAAGAACATCGAGAAATCTTCAATTAACTCCTATTCTGAATTTGAAATATACCAACACGCCTGAGGTGATATGCTCCAATACGCAAACATTTGCCATTTTATTGTCTTGCTCACCAGCCCTACATGTTGGAAAGTACTACGAAGTGAAAGACTAATTGCTACATTCTCACTGTTAAATTGCCGTTCAAGATAATAAACATACATTTCCGGATCGCTAATTTTCGTTAAATTTTATTGCTCGCGTACAACATTCGGTTTTGCTTTTACTAATAAAGATTAGGCTTGTCTGCGAAGGTCCATTGAATAACACACGGCCGAATATGGACAATAAAATAAGTGCTATTTACAGCGGAATACATTTGTGACTAATCTTCCACATGCAATAAACGTGAGAAGCTTTCAGCATTGTGAAAATTTTAACGTCGAGAACAGGCGCCATCTAATAAATAGGTTTATACATTTAACAAGATATATTAGAAAAATTGGGGCCATGCTAAAACGGAACTAGAGACCGTACGGAGAAACGCGAGCGTAAAAGGAATACGATTGTAAACACACAACAATTCTAATGATTTTAAATAATAGTTTTTAACTATAACCGGCATTACTTTAAATACATTTGTCGATATTAAAGTTGAAAAATCAAAAAGTATTAAATATTTATTTTGATTGATTTTACGTCTGGAAGCATTGGAGTTGGCTTCTATCGATAAAATTTCCTGGCTAATATATTCCTTCAATAATAATTTATTTTCAAAAAAACCCTTTACAAATAATTTATCGAATTCGGAATAAATCCAAAATACAATTTTCAATGATACCAACGCATCTGTAATTTCTAAAGCTTAGTATCAGGAAGTTTTCCACTAACTTGAATAACGACTATCTATTTTATTGAATCATCATCAGTAGTTGAACAAATATATATTTAAAACAGCGCCTATTTGATTCTTCCTTGAAAATATCACAAAGCTGTTACACTCAAACATGTCTTCCTAAATGACCTCATCTGTGAACCTGGCAGTGGATTCTGAGACCTTGGCCTAATTTTAAATTTAAATAATTGAAGGTACTCACCAAATTTATGAATAAAAGACATTCTTCTATCTTCTTATGATATAATGTCCAAGTGATTGTGTTGACAATAATACAATTTAATATATAATTCTGATGGTTTAATCCAAATATGACAAAAGCTTAGCGCATTTTATACTAACAAAAGCAAACAAGAAAATAATACAATAACAATTGTTCAGGCAGAAAGTGGGCCATTTCAAACCAGATTTTTCATGTTTGGCAAATCAATTTGGAGCATAAAACAAATAGCACCTGAAAGTAGTAAACTATATCTCTATATTATGCTATGTTTAACTGAATTCAATTGATTAATTGTTAATATTTCATATAGCTATATTCATTTTATGGGTATTTGTTGTGTTATAGATGTCATGGCCAAACAGAGTACTAAAATAGTGTCAATACAAATTGGAATCTTCACAGTGAACATGCACCATGTATTCTTATTGGTGTATTCATATAAATTTGCTTATGCTATTAATTAAACCTTAACAATTGATTGTTCATTAGTTAAATATTGCGCTATAAATCTGCACATCTGTCATAACCTGGAATAATCATACAATTCATATATAGATTTTGCACAATTTTAATAGTCCTATCAATCCTAATAAATCTGCCTATAAATCCTCTAAACTTTAATAATAACCCGGCAAACTTGAAAATAAAGATTTGGTCCATTTAGGCCCTCCACAAAAACGGAAAAGAAATAGCTTTAGACAAGCCCGTATCGGATTCAAGTACGATAGTTATAGAAGGTACTGTATAATTGCCAAACATAACATGAATATGGCATTAAACATTCTCAGTTTGTGTTTCTATGATCCAAGATGAGTTGACCCTTGACCGCTTGTTATATACCGGTAAGTACTGTTTCATATAATTACCCATAAAAATATAAAATTATGAAGTAGGCTACAATATATTTCATATAAAATGAAAAAGAGCTTATGAACTTGGAAAAATCTCACATTACCTAAAAAGGCCCATATGCTCAAAATTTGATCAAACTGGCATCATACTCATACACTACGATTTTGAAAATCTCCACTTCTAGCCTAGCTTTATCCTCACTATTTCTGAAAAAATCAATGAACAAAATGAACAGCACACTACAATGTCTAGCTGAAATGGTTCTATAAATTAAGACGCTGCTGAGCTGCCTTTGAGGAAATCTAGGCTATTTAATTTAATACTAATAGTTGAACGTTCCTGCAATAGCAATTCTAATAGTCTCTGAACAATGTCCGGTATATGTCATTGCGATATCACAAAGCAAAGGAAGTAATATTGGAAGGCTGTACTGCTCAAGACGGTCAATTAGTCAGAAACTGAGTCACCTATAAACCGGTTTTAGACTAAAAAGAGTATTGAGAAGAAATTGCATGGTGTCATTTTATAATGAGTTATCTTTATTGAAATGTGTCATGTCGAAGTGGCGAACGCCTATTATTTTGAAGAGACATGGTGGAAAATAGAAAGCAAAATAACAGAATAAACTGCAATATGTCTCTTTTTATCATCTATAAAAGCATTCAACTTGTCGCTTATACAATTCAGTCAGGTTAGACAGTTTTTTGAATATGTCGATAGTTTTGATGCATGAGGGTATATGCATGATACCATAAGTGCGTACTACTGAAAAACTGATAGAGTTACGATTATCTGAAATTGTACACAATCTAAATATTGCAATATGATTGCAGTAATAACATAATAGATCCTTCAGTAAAGCAGAAAAAATGTTATCTAGTCACTCTCACTAGTCAGGATTTTTCTAGATACAATAAATTTATTTATTAAATCAGCCTAACAAATTACTAATTTGTCCTGTCCTTTC